CAGAAATTTTTATGTTCTAGTCACGTGATTTGAACAAATTTTTCAGATAAAATATTTGATATATGGGACATCATTTTACCGTTTACAGATTTGAGCTAGCTCATCCCGTTTGGAAGATATTGCAAATTTACATTGGAAGAAACATATTGGCCGCCTATATACAATTAATTAAATTTAAATTATTTCTGAAATTTACATTTAATCGCCAATATAATAATATACTTATAGCCTGGTCATACTTTATACTTTATATAAATTGACAACATTTACTTTAATTTATAAGTTTTATTATGAAAATAGTTTTTAAAATATTATTTTTTGTTACATAGAATTATACAATGTAGTTTATATTAAATTTTGTAACTAAACTTTGAATTAATTTTATTGAAACAATAATTTTGGTCAATTTAATATTTACAGTTGCTCTCAATTTAATATAAACTGTATCAACCTTTTTGTTTTAAATTACCATCATCTACAGAATTGGCATTATTTCCAATATCATCTACTTTATCACCATCATCATTGTTGCCCTTATATGGCTGGTAATAATAGGCTATTATTGCAAACACAATCATATCGGCCACCATTAGTCCAGCAAAGAAAAAGAACTCGCTAGACTGTTTTGAGAAAGCATAATTTTTAAATAAGTTTATAATTTAAATTTATTAATTAAATTTATTTACCTGCTCGTCAAACATTTGAGCGGATGAAATAATTATGATGATCAAATCGCCAAACGCTACTGTCAATAACCAGGCAGCTGTCACAATAGACTTCATACTATGGGGTGCCTAAATAATAAACATGGTTTAATTATTTAAACTTTTATATGATTAAATTTAAGTTATGGAATAATTATGAGCTTGATGTATACCTGGGAGTAGGAAAATTCCAAGCCGGTAATTGAAAACATAATCTCACCGCCAGTTATCACAGCGTATTGAATAACTTGTAAGAATACGGACAACGAGTTTGGCGCAACTAAATTGTGTGCAACGCCCGCTAACTTACCCTGTTAAAATTGTATAAATATTAAAAATTACCTTACTCCTTGATTGCTAATTACATACATTTTTATCTGAATATATAATTGACAAATAAGCGCCGCCTTGAAGAAGGTCTATACCTTTAATAGCTAAGTGGGCAGAACTATCATGGTCATTTTCTAGTAATAATAATTCGTATTCACCGCCTTTGTGAACATAAAGTTCCTTTTTGTACGGCACGTAACCCTCGTAGCGTTTAGTATCGCCAGTAATAGTAGGGTGACCATCGCTTGTAGTGGAATTAAAATATTCTACAAACTCGCTATTATCAAACTTGAATGTAATGTATGCGTCATTCATAATATTTAAGGTCGGTTTTGACACCAAATCACGTATATTATAAACAGTTGCGGCCAACGCGCCACCATTTACTGGTTTAGCAAGTAGGTCAATTTTTTCTTCAAATTCAAGCAATTTTAGCTTGTTTATCGGGTCGCAAATACTCTCGGTTATAAATAACAAACCACTCCTCTGGAACCCAGGACTTAATTGTGGGGAATATTCCACATTCGGTGAACAGCCGGGTATATTCGCACCGCCCGTAAGGGTAATGTCAAACGTTAACCCTTTTGATGTTAACTCGTTTATATCGACATTGGGTATGGTATGAATGTTGTACTTATCCAATGATAGGCTTTTCTCGGTAAATAATAGACTGTTTTTTACCGTAATCTCACTATTTAAACCATTTACTATAGTCACGTGAATAGAGTGACCAGATAGCGCGGGTGGCAATTCAGTTTCAATTGATAACTGGTAAAACCCGCAAATGGCAAATGCTACCCCTGCCAACACACCACCCGCCACCATTCGCTGCAGCGGTCTTTTGAGCAAGTTGAATTTGGTTAACACCGGGTATATAACGTAATTAAACAATGGTATGCATAAAATGATCAATATGGGATTCACTATCCCTATTTGATCAGGCTTCATACGATAACTGCCTAATTTACCATCCATTTTAGTCGCTTGTAGTGTCCAGCGCGAGCCCTTAAAATTGTGTTTTAATTAATAAACTATTTTCCCATAGGAATATCATACAGCATTATTTACCTGTTGATTAAATAGTGCCCAAAAAATTGGTAATGGTAAATACAGAAACAATACTCGCATTACTGCTTTTATATCGGCTAAGGTTTGTGCCTAAATAAATACATTGGGATTATATTAAATTCATATAAATTATCAAAAATAATCAGTTTTACTTACATCGTATTTATCATCCGCATAATCTAACCAATGATCGCGTTTTGGCACTTTTTTGAACCATTTTCTCCCTAGCGATGTCTATTTTAATTTTGACAAATAAATTCATCATGAGCATTATTGAAAATAATTTGTTTATTTGTATTGTGCTTTTCAAATATTGCTGAAACCCATCATTAAATAGAGTAACGAATAGTGAACAACAATACCACTGATTTTTATTTGAGCTATAAGTTATAGCAAATAATACTTTGAATTATTAAGTAAGCTGAGCAAGCACTTTATGAACTTAATTATCGGCTATTAAATGTTTATTAATGCATTGAGCAATGGAAATGCTAATTAATTAATAGATGTTGGTACAACTTACAAAAACACATTTGACCACTTTAAGCAAGATACTCTCCTTTTGGGGCGGATTAATTACATAAGTGGTCAAATATCGACCGGACACAAATAACACCAGGGCCACAATCATCAAAACAGCGGGCACACCAAATGCCAAGGGGTAACACGAGGCCCGACCAAAACACTGGACATCTTCGCGCATAATAGGTGTCGTGGATGTGGACAATAGGGACCCGGCGTTGATTGCAATGTAGAAAAATGAAAAAAATTTCGCCAGATGCTTTTCCTGACCAGGGCCAAATTGGTCGCCGCCAAATGCTGAAACACTTTTGTTTGGCGTGAAGTTAGTTAATTTTTTATAACATGATTTATTATTAGTATAATGTAATGAATATAAATGTGACATTGTAAAATGTAATCTTATAAAATACAATTTACCATGGTTTTATGCCGCCTGTACCCAGCGCGATCGATGCTAAGCCTATCCACACAATCCAGCTAATATGTGCATTGAATAAATTAGATATACACGTGTATGTTGTAATGAAAGTTCATTAATCAATTTAAAAGTTGTCACCTTTTCTCAGCTACGGCCGAATAGGAGAGTACAATATTGCCGATTGCATACAGTATTGATAAGTAAAATATAGTCCTGTTTTAATTATAATAATTAAATATATTGTAAATAAGAAAACATTTATTTAACCTGTATTTGCCGAGAAACGTGTCTGCTATAATGGCGCCAATAATCGGGGTAAAGTAGCACAAGCTTGAATATAAATGATAATACTCAGTGGCCTCGTTGTCAGAATAGCGAATAATTTGTGTAAAATATAAGACCAAAATTGCTACAAAATATTGAATAATTATATTTAACTTAAACAATATTTATATTATACATAATTTATATTTTAAATATCAATTAGATTTAAAATCTAATTAAGTGTATTACTAAAATATATTGTAATCTATTATATTTTTAATATTATTATTTAAAACATTTCAATAACCTTTGAACAAGCTTTAACTTTCGTTAAGACCAATAACCTAGGCAAAAACGTCACATAATGAACCACACATTATAGAAAATTTATATGCTTGGTATACATTGGTAACGTTTCTGCCCGATTATATTATGTAAATAAAATGTTATAAATGCAATTACTTTTTGCCCCATAATATGTGAAGCGTTCGCAAAATTCATTGCCGATAATGAACGGCACGGATCGGGGATACCGTAGTTTAGGGACTGATGGTTGGGCTTCATCGGGGTAATTGTCGTGCGCTGGCTCCTATGAGAAATGATTAAAATTTTATAATATATTGTAATTTTAAAATATGATTTCTTCATGAATCCCTTAATAATTTATAATCAATTTTGATTTAAATAAGTTATTTTTGTTAACTAAATAAATAAACAATCTAACTGGATAATAAATTATTAACAAAATTAAAATAATTATTAAACATTTAGATTTACTACTTGAAAATGTTCAACTTACCATGTTTACTACGCGTTGTGTTTTTAAAGTTAGATTTTTGTATTTTAGCACAAACGCGATAAATTAAAAAATGGTCATAATTTGTAGTGGTGTACATTATATTTATTAATTCTGTTATACAAAGTCCTATCAAAATTATAATTCTTTTATAGCCAAATAAAAGTTAATTATTTTTACATGATTTTTATAATTATATCTTTTATGTGAGTTTTTAACTTCCATATAAGTTACTACAAACTATAAAACTAATGTAGTTGTTTAAATTGATGTTTATAATTAATTTCATTATTAAATTATTTTCTAACTTTATCAATATAATATGTGCATGATTTTTATTAAAATGTTTAATACGGTATATTAAAAATGTATTTATTTGATACAATGAACTTTTTCAAAATTTCATGTTTACCCTTATATGTTTACACTCAATAAAATCAAGTTCTAAAGTAAATTACATTATCTTAAGAATGTCTGCACACAATGCATTTAATTAATTATCCTTATAATGTAGATAAATATACTTTTACTATGCGGATAAAACAATTATATAAGTCATTAACTATGGTAAACTGAGGTATGTTTACTAACAATCAGTAATAAATTCATTATTAGTTGAAACTAAATACACAGTTAAGGTCTAAGTCATTAAATTAAATGATCTGCATGCAACATATAAAATATTACCTAAATAGATATTATAATGCTTATATGTTTGTGCCAATAATATCCTCTTTCATCAAGGAATTACGATTATTATAAATATAATTTTATGACATTTATTTTAATAATTATAACTTTGTAAGTAGTAATGGTGATGATACACAACCGGTCATGGCCACAAAAATGGCCGACCCGATAGATAATCAAGGTCATAATAAAAAGTCAAAAAACTTAATTTTTAAAAAGTTTTGTTTTTGTGGAGTTTTTATGTTTAAAAGTCTTAGTAAGACTTTGGCTGTCTATAGCCTACGGCTATGGCATTGAGAAGTGCCAACACAGACATCACTTCACGTGATAGACACGCAGACACTGTGTGCCATATTATACCTGTTATGTTACCCGTACTCTCTCTCTCTCTCTCTCTCTCTCTCTCTCTCTCTCT